CACGGGGGCTTTGTGGAGCTGCCAGGCTTTGTGGGGCATCTGAGATTTTGGGGGGCACGGGGGCTTTGTGGAGCTGCCAGGCTTTGTGGGGCATCCGGGGTTTGGGGGGGCACAGGGCCGCCCCCGGCCGTGCCAATCCCCCATCCCCTTCCAGGTGTGCGTCCGCAGGAGCGGAATTTTGGGACCAAAGCCCTGACGGTGGAAGCGCTGGACTCCATCAGCATCCTGGCACACGCCGCGCCGGTCCCGCGGGGTACGGGGCGGGCTGCGGGTCCCCCCCCATGCCCATACCCATACCCGTGCCCACGCCGTGCCCCCCGGGACCCCTCTGTGCCCGCAGAGCCGCTCCTGGCAGCGGCCGAGGCCGAGCTGGAGGCGCCGCAGCGGGAGCGGCTCCGGGGCGGCGGCGGCCGCGGTGCCCTGTGGCACATCTTCCGCGCCGAGGATGCCGCCCGGATCCGCGATTTCCTGCGCCAGGTGGGTGCCACCAAGCCCGGCCCCGCTCCAGCCGCCGGCCCCGCTCACCCCTGGCACCCCACAGGCAGCCCCGGGGCCGGGGCAGGACGCGGCGGAGCCCCCCGGGCGTTACCTGGAGCCGGAGCTGCGGCGGCGGCTGCGGGACGAGTGCGGGGTGAGCGGCTGGAGCCTCCTGCAGCTCCCGGGGGACGCCGTGCTGGTGCCTGCCGGGGCTCCCCACCAGGTAAAACCGGGGGATCCCCGTTTAAACGGGCCCGAGAAGCTGTGCCAAGCAACCCCCGCCCTGGGGAAACTGAGGCACGGCAAACCGGGCAGGTGCAGAGCCTCAGCGGCACCATCAGCGTGGAGCAGCGATTCCTGTCCCCGGAGAGCGCCGTGCGCCTCCGCCAGCTCGGTACCGGCCCCGCCGGGACCCCGCGGCACCTCCGTGCCCAGGTGGGTGCGCTGGGGGGAATTTGGGGGGCCGGGGTGGGCCGGGCAGGGAGCTGAGCCCCCGCTTTGCGCCCTCGCAGCTGGACCGGGTGATCCTCACCGCCGTGCGGGAGGCCCTGGGGGTCCTGCGGGGCTGCCCGTGAGGGCACGGAGCGGCACCGGGACACCGGGAGCCCCCCCGGGCACGGAGCGGCACCGGGACACTGGCATCCCCCCCGGGCACGGAGCGGCACCGGGAGCACCGGGAGCACCAGGCCCGGAGCGGCACCGGGACACTGGGAGCCCCCCCGGGCACGGAGCGGCACCAGGACACCGGGAGCCCCCCCGGGCACGGAGCGGCACTGGGACACCGGGACTCCCCCCCGGGCACGGAGCGGCACTGGGACAC